GAGCGGGGTCTGGGATTTGAATTAGCCTCATCTTCTGTGGGTTGGGAGTTGGTTTTAATAACAGGATATGCAGGACTCCCCTCCTCCGATCGCTTAAAGGGAAACAATACCCAAGAGAGTCAAACAGCCCTGTTCTCTGTTTACCTTGCAGTTGAGCTGCCCCAGACAAATGATAAGAGCATGACATCTGAGTAGGTCAGAGCACTGGATGCTCAAGACATGAAAAAATGCATAGGAGCAGAGAAAGCCTGGACCCCACAGCTGTGGGTTTTGCCCAGCTTGTTTTTTCCCAAGCCCCAACCCGCAATATAAACAAACCAACGCTGCCACAAGGCAGCCGGCGCCAGTAGCCCGGACAGGCTGAGCTGGTAAGCCCCTCTCCCAGCCCAGGCGGTTGCCTGCTCCCAAATGCAAGGTAAGCCACTGCAGGGACCTAAGCGGACAGTCTTCTGTCCCCGAAAGGGTCAGATAAGCACCAGCACCATCCTCTTGGAAGCAGTTTCAAGAGCAGCCGGTTAGCTAACTCCAGCAGCACAGTTGTATCAAACCCTGTGTCAGACCCTTAGTTGTAAGGATCCATCAAGTGACTTCTGTATCACTGAGCGGAGCTGAGCTCAGCGACCTGCCCCGGTACTTTAGTTCTAGGAAGTGCTGAAGGTAGTGCCGGCCACTTAAAGTTACTGCTCCTGCTTATTTTAAGTTAACCATTTTCTAAAAATGTTTTACCAGCATCAGCTCTTAGGGGAAACCAGGCCTATATTTATAGTTCAAGGTCCTTAGTCAAACACTGGTTTCATCGCTACACTAGTGGTTTGACAAAGATCAAGTGATAAAGTCCTCTCTGGCTGATGATTTGGGGTTTTTGCTGTGGCCACACCTGCTCGCTCTTTCCTGTTCATCAGGCTAATTCCAGGATGTCTTCTGTTTCTTTTCAGCTAGAGATGTTTACCCTGTTCCTGTGAGGTCTGAGGCTTCCTTTCTTTTCTATAGCAGCCCATCCATGGTGTTTGGGGAATTAAAAAAAAAAAAGTTTTTTCCCTCTGTGGAGGCTTTGAAAGAAGCTATAATCTTCATATGCATTTCCCACAAGCTCCAACTGAATTTTACCTATGGTTAAGCTCTGTCAGTGTGAGAGAACACAACCGCTATTGAGTATAAAATTTGGCCAGGCTTTAAGGTGTGCGCTGAAGAGCCCCCACAGCCAGCAGAGGCAAGAAACCAGCCCTCACTGCTGTCTGTCATCTGCCACACAGCAGGGGACTGTGCCACTCAACAAGGTGACGTTCTGCCAGCCCAGGAGCACTCTGTGTGGGGACACATCCCTAATTTGGTTAAGGATGCATTCTAGCAGAGCCCAAACTTTAAGCCTGCTGATGCTGTCTTAGGACTCCTGATCTCACCTTCTATGCTTCACAGCCTATTTCATATGGACTAGAAATCACAGGAATAAAACTAATTTATCCAGCTTATTGTAGGCACTGCTCTTTCCACTATGTTATCCTCAGTCAAACTCACAACCTCAAGCTCTCCCAGAGGATAAGCAAATTTTCTAAAATACTTGCACGCCACGAGAGAGAAGAGTTCTGGCAGGTAACACAGAAGAGAGGGACGCGAATCCTGTTGGAGCTGTGACTCCCTCTCCGCATTACGACATGCTGTAAAGTAACAAATCGGGGCCCTCACAAAACACAGCACCTGGGAAAAATTTCCTGCTTGTCCGCCTTTCCTTGCCCTGCAGGGCAGTTATGATGGACTCCCGTATCCCTGACATACGTGACAGTCTGCAGCTCGCGCCAGCCCCACCAGCTAGCATACCTCTCCTGTGACTGCACGTTCGGCTGCTGTCAAACTTGGAGTGTGCCTCCCTCCACCACCCAATGTGCTGTCAGTACTAAACAAGCTACATTTTTGGATAGTCTCTCTCCCTACCATTATCCAATTAATTCTTCATGCACTTTTATATA